AGCACCCTCGCCCCGGGCCCCCCTGACCCGTCCCCGAGAGAGCCGCGTGGCCTTGTGTCTGGGTGGGCATGTCTGGACCGTCTGGGGTTCTCAGGCACCTGGTGCCTCTGCAGAAGTGTCTGCTGGAGGGCACTCGCTGCTAGGACCGGGTGTTAGGCAAACTCGGAGGTTGCCAAAAGTGCTGACTTCATGTTAAAATTCTGTTTGCCACCAGTTTTGTTCCCGGTGCTGGGCTGGGAATGGAGCTGGATCTGGGAACCGAAGCTTGTTGTGGAGTCACTGTCCCGGAGGTGTTTAAGGAGAGACTGGACCTGGCACTCAGTGCCGTGGTCCGGTTGACATGGTGATCACAGAGGTCGCCTCCAACTTGATTGATTCTGTGTCTCTTTGGCCCAGTGTAGCTCTGTGGGCTTGTGTTTTAAACTGGGTCACTAAACTCAAATCTCCTTTTTCTCCCTGTGCTCTAAACTTCCCAAAAGAGGGAAGTGTTATTTTTAATGTGGACAGGTTCAATGATTTAGTTTGCAAACTGCAAGGAGCCAAGGAGGAGTGGCTGGAGGCAGGGAATGGGCAAGTTTGCCAAGTTCTAACAGTGACAGAGCTGTCAAAGCCCTGAGTTTATTCAGTTATAACCAGCAAACAGAGAAAGTGATCATTCTGACCAAGAAAACAGGTTACTGCTGCCTTTCTATATCAAACAGTAATGCTTCTTCACAGAGGAAGGTCTGTGATGTTTACTTGAACTTATACCTTCATCAGTGGGTTTGTCCCCCAGATTAAGTCAGGCCCACAGAGCTGTGGCTGTGTTCAGCAGTGCTCTTTCTTCTCATCTCTGAAGCTAGCTGAGTGCTTCTATGTGCTGGATAGGTGACTGGAGAAAAAGCCATACTGATTGTTGTCCAAAACCATAGCTGGAGGAGGATTTTTATGGATGTGGACTTTTCCCTTAACTAATCATTTTCATTTCCTTCAGTTTAGCCACTCATTCCTATCCTGGAAAGACTTCCTCAGTTGTGTTAGTGTAATTGTTGCTGGAGCTGCAAAGTCAACTTGTTTCCTCCCCCCTTTTTTCCCCCTCCAGGTTATTTTATTTGTGTTCAGCTCTCCTGTGTGGCTCATCATACAATACTTGAAACAGTTGTACCAGTGTTCAACCACAAACCCTCTCAAGGAGAAGGGAGACACTTCCCAGAGGGAAATGTCAGTTAAATCCTGTTCTTTATGTACAAGAGTAGATCTAGGCCACCCCAACTCCATTTCTTTCTTGTCAATGTAAGTTATTTGTACAGAAATGCTGCTGTAATTTATTGAAAAGCACATGATTCTTCATTCAGCTGGACACTAGTGTTCTTTATTTCTTAGCAATCCTAGAGCCTCTGTCCTGTTGCAGAGCAGGACAGCTGCTGACAGACTCTCAGTTTATAGAGTGCACAGACTTTTCCACAAGTTTTACTCCAGGCTGTTAAATCAAAATTCATACCAGTCACTGGAGCACTGCACCAGTGTTGCAGTGAATCAGCTCTAGGGGTTTGTGATATCCACGATTCACAGCACTGGTCGGGTATAAACTTTTTCCTTAAATAAATGCTGAGGGGACAGCTGACTACAAGTGAACTGTATGCTGAGTCAGGTATCCTCCTGCTTCCTGCAGCTGCCATAAAGCCAGAATAAACTTGTTCTTTTGTGCTGTGGCTGATGTAGCAAATACACAGTCACTGGCCCAACACTTACTTTGTCCTGGCTAGTACAGTACACAGTGGCCATTACTGAGCTTGTTCATGGTCACCAAACAGCAGCCTGAGGAGCTACAACCTTGGATACTATTACATTAGAATAAGAGTATTTTTTCCCTGTTTTATTTTAAATCACAGCTATTTAGAGGTCAGCCCCAAGAGAGGAGAGATTAATCTTTCTGCACTGCTGTTTATGGTGAAAAAATACAGTGAAGCAATTTTCTCAGGGTATTAAAACCCAACCTTTATGTCTCTGCTGCTTTTACTATTTGTTGTCACCTCCTGCAGCAAACTGACACCTGTTGTAATGTGACAGCATCATTCAGTATTTCTTTTCCAGCAAGGGGCAGATTCTGTCAGGTAACCAGCATCAGGAAACCATTCCTGCATGGAAAAATGTTTAAAAATGTGATGGTCATTGAAAAGAAGGAGTTGCTGTAAGTCCTGGTGTAGCAGCTTTGCGGAATTGAGCTGCTTAAAAATAAATTTATTAGAACAATCAGTGAATTAATAATGAAAACATTCAAAATTTACTGACTGAACACCCAAGGTGAAAATTTTAAACACGTATGACATAACAAGTACCTCTTTGTGCTGCTACAAGTTTCTAGCCAGCTGAGCTGTAGAAACAGCTTATGACATCATATAAGAAATTAGAGGTAACCTAAAACTTGGTTATGTTTCACCTAAATTTGTAAAACTTACTCACGTGTCCATGAGATGAAGCAGGGCAGGACTTCAGTTACAGAACACAGCCCAGTTTCTTACTGCCATGTAGCCTGTCTGAAGCAGGTTGTTCTGGTTTTTTGGCAGAACTTGCAGACTTTTGTGGCCATAAAGTGGTTGTAATTGTCTGGTTTGTCCTGTTGTAAGGCACCTCACTGCACTTGCCTCGTGTGCAGGCAAGAGAGTGGTTCTGACAGGAATCTGAAGGTCAGAGGATCTTGTCCATTCCAGCTGTTGAATATTGGAAAATGGGAAAACCAATGCAATTCCACCCAGCCCAGTCCTGCTGGATAAGGAAAGTAATGTGAGAATTGCTTCATTATTAACTCTAATGTAATGATTAAAAAAGAGAGGTGACACATTCAAAGTACCTTAAGTGGTGAGGTGTCCCTTACAGGGTGGTTTGCTTTATGTCTAATCAGACTGTAAAAATTGAGTAGCAGAATTGACCAGTTGGTTCTTTCATTGTTTTCTTCCATTATTCTCTTATGGACCCAGAAGCTGTTTTAAAATCATTAACTGTGTTGACTGATGTGCATTGTAATTACAGGAAACCCTTACTAAACACTAGTGAGACCATCTGACAACAGGATTGCTAATCTGCCTGCGGGGCACTTGGTACTGGGTCACAAATGGCACAACTACATGCCACAATGTTCTAATTGTGTTTTCCTGGTTTGGACTTGCTTTTGAGCGGTTACTTTCATATCGGGTTGCAGAACAACTTTTATTTGCCCAAATCATGCAGAGTCAGTGTGAAAATGTGAAGGGAAAAGCAGTGTATCTGCCCACTCCTGACTAAAGCTGTGCAGCTGGATGGTTTTGTCCTTCACAGATGAAGAACAATATTTATGGAACATGAGCCCAAGGTCTCAGCCTCTTGCTACAAGATGCCTTGGTCTGATCAGCTGCAGCCAACACAGCCCCATTTTTGGAATCTGTTCTGTGTGACAGACACCTGCACCCCCACGGTGGTGCCACTGCAGTTGTGTGTGAGCTCGGGGTCTGTCCATGCAAAATAACTCCTCATACTGCATGTTTGGTTTGTGTGGTGCCTGGGGCTCAGACAGTGTGTGAAGTGCTGTGTAAGAAAAGGGTAACATGACAGCATTGTTCGGGGCAGAATGCTGAGGTTAGCTGGCAGTGAGCATTCATTCTTTGTTTGCAGTGGATGGAGGGAGCTTTGGAATGGTAAGCAGATAACTTCCAGTAGGAGAACAGAGCCTCAATTCTGCACATATTTCATGTTGATTTAAATGCCACTGTGCAAGTGTTACATTTTATCTACGTGCAAAACTTTCCTAGGACTTAGCACTGCAGTTACAGAGCAGTTTTGGAAGCTGTCCTAGGAACGGCATTGCTGGTGTACTGTTCTTGCTTTTAAACTTCCCAAGTATCTCAGAACACAACTGTGCTTGGAACTTAGTTTAGAACAATACTCTTATATTTTATTCTGACATTTGAAAGATTTCTTTGACTCTCAAGATACTTGCAGTACATCTGTTTCTCTTTGGCTTGCCTAGTCTCAGGTCTCCCAGCTGTATATACTGCTGCTGCCTGCTGTCTCTTAGCTATACAAAGGAAGACATGGTTTTGTTTTCCAAAAAGTACCTTGTCCACACAATCCCCTTAGGTTGGGCATGCACTATAAACTTGAAGGTTTTTAGTACCTCACAGCAGTGGATTTGCTTCATTCTCTTTTGCATGGCTTTTTTTTTTTTTTTTATTTCCCTCTCCCTCTTTCCAGGTGTTGTTTGTGACAGATCAGTTTTTGGTGTCTAGTTTCTTGGCAGTTCTGACACTGTTGCTGTAGGAATATCCTCTGCTACAAGTTTGGTGTTTGCAACATCTTTGTGTTTGCCCTGTTTCAGATTTTGCAGACCAGTACCCGTTCTTGCCAGGACCATTTCCTCTTTTCATTCCTTATTGGTTCTTTTATTTGTCTGAAGAAGTTTTGGTGGCATAAAGTGTATGAAGACATTTTGACCGTAGCAATTTTTTGTTTGGCAAATGGCAAAAAAAGGTTAGTTGTAGAGTTTTATGGCTCTGGAAATCACAAATTTCTTTTTCCACAGGGGGAAAATGTGGAAACCTACAGACTATTCCTAACAGAGGGAAGAAAACTCTTAACGACTTGCAAACACTTCTTGTCAGAATGCAGTTCCTACAGCTGCTGTCCAGGAAGTCGGGGAAACTGGAAATGCTTTTTCAAATCCCATTCTGCCAAAAGCCATTCCCATACACGTGTCTGGCTACCTCTGCGTGTCTGTATAGCAAAAAGAAAAAAGCAAATGGGTATGAACAAGTTGACCAAGAAAAATACAAGAACTTGGTCTACTCTGTTACATCTTATAAAACCAGTGCCCAAACCCCAGAGACAATATTTGAAGAAGACAATCTGTTATATGGGCCGCCAGGTAAACACAGACCTCCAGTTAAAGCTGGGACCAAAGCTCCCAAGAACTGGGTTCCTTTAATAAACCCCAGCAAGAGAACTGTTCCTCTCAACAGGGATTCAAACCTCCCCATGAAAGTCGCCCTACAGAAAAACAAAATGCCCAGTGTTACCCGTGTCCTTCAGCAAACCCTCTCACCACAGCAAGTCTTCTACCTAGAAAGATGGAAGCAGAAAATGATACTGGAACTTGGAAAAGATGGCTTTGAAGAGTATACCAAAAGTAAGTCTAACCACAGTGTGATTGCAAGGTAGAAGCAGCAGTCTGGACAGCTGGATGGGACAAACTAACACAGCAGCAGTATTGGCCCTGCAGGTCAAGTGCTGTGGAAATTCATTAAGTTGTTTCTATTTCATGAGAGCATATTGTGAGTGTATCTGTTATCAGTAATGGTTCCAAAGCTCTGGTCTTTGGAACCACCGAAATGGATTTGGAAATCTGTGGGAAATGAGAATCAGACTGTAGACATCCCTTGCTCTATCCTAGTTGCCTCTCCTTTATTTGTTTGCCAATATCTATTTACAAATAGATATTTTCCAGCTGATAGAACTGAGCCTCTTTGCAGCTACTTTGTAACAAGATGGAATTAAGCATTTTGATACTGTTTAAAAACTGATGTGTCCTGCTGTTTATGGTGAAGTTCTTCAGCAATTGTGTAGTTTATCCAGTGCATGTAGCCTCTTCCATGAAATTGCCATGCATTCAGAGGGTTTCATTTCATGAGACCTACAAAGGTGACTTTCTCCTGCAGGACTGGGGATCTGGGAGGACCCGGGGGATAGTAAGTAGCCAGGTGGATAAATACCTGAGTGCTCCTTACACAAATTATTAAGCTTCTTAAAACTAATATCCTGTGATTATGCTTTTTGAGTTACTAAGCACCTCAGTGAATAAACTGCATAATAAACCTCATATAACTGTTTAAAGTTTATCTTTCTTGGAATAATTTCTGAGATAAGCCCATACTCCTAGAACTGTGCCCACTCATTTCAGGAGGAGATTAGTTAGTATTCAAATGAACCAGTTCAGCAGAATAAACAAGTACAACAAAAGCAGCCAAGAATAATAATTCTAATTCCTAGAAATTCACAAATGCTTTTGAATAAACAATGAATTGAAATGCATATTTTGTTTATAAGTAATTAGCAAAACAAAAAAACCCTCAAAGTATTAATACAAGGTACATTACTTTATTAATACATTAATACAAGAGATACTAATTTCACTGTTGTCACTGAATTTATTTTCTGTCTCTTACCCTTCGCTCGGTCAGGCTTTCAGTACAAAAATCAGGACTGGTGTGAGAGCTATGTTGTGTAATATGTAGAATTCAAATCTAAAGTAGTGTCTAAAAGGTGTGGGTTTTTTCTTAGACCTTTTCCTCCAAGGAGAGCTCTTCCATTCAGCTTTGGAGTCTATATTCCTGTCTGAAGAGATGGCAGCTAAGGAGCAGAGCGAAGACGATTCTCTTTCCGGCTACGTACAAAAATCAGGACTGGTGTGAGAGCTATGTTGTGTAATATGTAGAATTCAAATCTAAAGTAGTGTCTAAAAGGTGTGGGTTTTTTCTTAGACCTTTTCCTCCAAGGAGAGCTCTTCCATTCAGCTTTGGAGTCTATATTCCTGTCTGAAGAGATGGCAGCTAAGGAGCAGAGCGAAGACGATTCTCTTTCCGGCTACTTAACGAGCGTGGAACATGTCTTAAAAGACATCAGTGAAGTGAAAGCTCTGGAAAGTGGAGTTCATCACAAGACTTTGCAGTACCTGGGCCTGGTGGACTGTGTGGCCAAGTACCGGTGAGGTGCCCCTTCCCTAGGACACCTGTGGTTGTGGGGTGCTGAGCCCCAGGCTGCAGCAGGAGTTGTTGAGTGGCTGGGGAGAAGCTGGACAGATCTCTAGCACCAGTAAAATGGATGAACTCTCCTGGATGAACCTGATGACAGAAGTGCTGTTTTTTCTTGTGAAGAATTCCTTAGTGGAGCAGGGTATGAGTGGGGCAGGGTTAAGGGATTGCCAGCATTTGCCAGGAATTACAGCAGGTATTACTGAGCCTTGGGTTTTGAGATCTAAACTACTAGTGTGAGAGAGACTTGTTTAGACATAATAATGAGCAACATGACGTTAGGGTGAAACAGACTGAAAGGGATAAGACTCTGTGCCATCTCATCCTGAATTTCTTACTGGTGACTAAACTCAAGTTTAGAGCATTGTTCTACTTTGTTCTCTCACACAGAGGCCGATTGTGTGTGATTGACTGGAAGACTTCAGAGAAACCTAAGCCATTTCTGAGGGATACTTATGACAACCCATTGCAGGTTGCAGCATATATTGGAGCCATAAATGATGATGCCAATTACGACTTCCAGGTGAGTAGGCCTGCTACCTGCCAAGACAGCAGAGCCCATCGTATCTTCATTTCTCCCCACCTACTGCCTTTAGAATCTGCTGTCCACCATGGAACTGTTGGTAGGATTTTAACAAGCAGCCCAGTCTGAGATCAGGTTGAGCTGACATACTGTGAAATAACTCCACTACTGCTAATATTCCTGCCCTTGCCTGTCAGCAGTGGATTTTCAGTGGTTTTAAGGAACTGCTCAGTGGAACCAGGGATGCTCAGAGCCTTGGAAGGTCAAATGAACTCACAGTGACTTGGCATCAGTGTAATCCCCTGTGCTTTGCTCTGTGTGGTTTTTGCTTGTGCCAAGAGTAAAGGGCAGGAGAAGAAATAAAGCAAAGGAGCCTGTGAACAGGAAAATGGTGTGGGAGGGCATTGCTTGCATCACGTGTTACTATAGCCCACTGGCAAGTGAGAGACTAAACAATGTCCTTAAAGTGTTTGGAAGCTGTACTGTGTTTCCTCGGGGGAAAGCAATGTCTTGTCAATCCCTTTATCAGAAGACAGTGGAATAATGTTTTCAAAGTCTCCAAAGGCTATTCTAGCCTGCCTGCTGGGCCTAAGGGATTTTTACTTCAATACAAATATCAAAGGGGGAAAATATGAAGCAGAAGAGAGCAGGTTAATTCATAGGTTGTGCAAAGGACTTTGTAGAATACTGTAGAGGTCAGTAAACACAAGCACTTAACAGACATGATCCTTTTACAGAGTGAAATATGGGCAGTAATTCTGGAATCCTGCCCTTAGCCTCCTGCCCCCACTACCAGTGACTGTTTGGGATTTTTGTCAGGTATGAAAGATGTCAGAACATATCTAAGTAACCATTTCCATTCAGACTGATGCTGCAGAGTGGTTTCAGTCTGGTTATACAGCCCCAGACAAAACCTCGTCAGTCACTTGGGATTTTACCAGCATCTGCAAGGTTTAAATACAGCCTGTCACTCATACTTGGAGTTTGTGTCCTCTGGTTTCCACTGAAGTCAGTCAGAGCCTTGGGAGCATTTGAGCGTTAGTCTCCAAGTATTTTATGGTGAATTATTGCCCTTTCTTGTTTCCCATTATGTGAGATAGTTGTATGCTGAGAGGACACTTTGCAGTGAGGTTTAGTTTTTACAACTGCATGTGAATGCTGATTTTCTGACAGCCTTCCGGTTTTGCCTGTAGGTCAGCTGTGGACTCATTGTGGTTGCCTACAAGAATGGATCCCCTGCACATTCACATTTCATGGATCCTGATCTGTGCTCACAGTACTGGAATAAGTGGCTTTTGCGCCTGGAAGAGTACATGGAAAAAGCTGACTCAAACTAGACACAAGCAAGTGGTCTGAACACAGGACAAAGCAAGAATTTTTGTTAAATATACCACTTTAATACTTTTTTTTTCCCTAGCAACTTCAGCTAATTTTTTTAATGTCAGGGGGGTATTTTCCACCTAAAAAAATGAGGCAAGGAAATTTTGAATGGGGAACAGATATTTGTTTATGTTGTAGGTGACTCCAGTGGTCTGGGGAGGACTTATCCCACACAGTTTATACAACCTGAGGTTGATATAAAAGTTTCTATTGCAAAGTAAAACTGTTCAATCAAATCTTCCTTCTTTGGTAATTTTTACGAAAAAAAATTTTTGCAGAACTGAGACTTTGAAAATGAAGTTGGTGAAGTAAAGCGAAATGACATCTGCATTGTCTGTGCTGAGAGCAATGCAAATGATAAGGAAATGAATATAGTAGACTGGGTTTCAGTCAGCTTAGTTCTTGCTCATATCAAAGGTCTATTACAGGCTTGTTACTATTTGTGGTTTTTCTTACGACAATAGCTGGAAAAACTGCACTAAGAATTATAACAAAAGTTCAAATTAGCTCTTATTGAAAGTACCGCAGCAGAGTGGTCATTTAACAGAAGTGGCTCAGCAAGAGAGGAGCAGAACTGTAACCAATACTCCTAGAAATTTCCAGCAAGTGTTGTGAAAGTTGGGAAGTTTGGCTACTGCTAGTGGCTCCTCCTGCAGGTTTCTTAACATACAGCCTGTGCAGCCCACAGAGAAGCACTGTGAACCAGGCTCTGCACCTTGGGCTGTGAGCTCTGTGCAGGCCAAGGCTGCCACTGCCTGGAGCCTCTCCTAACATCTCTGTGGGTCTGAGGTGACAAGGAGCCCATCCATGTGGAACAATCTCCAGTGTCAGATTAGAGTGCCAGTGTGAGTAAATTTCTGTATAAGCAGGCTCATGGCTATGAAACTCTACCTTCTGAGGTATGAAGAGCTGCTGGGTGGTTTTGGGGGGGTGTTTTTTTTTCAAATAAGTTTGTGAATAAATGTTTTGAAACAGAAGTTACTTTTGAAGCTTGTTTCACAAAATCAAGTCTATGAGGCAGAGAATAAGCCTCAGTGATGTCAGGCAGTATTGCTTTTTTCCTCATTCTCTCAGAGTTTTTATAATACCACTGCAGATTACAGATCAAAATACAACCAACTATAACCTCCCAGAAAATCAGCCAGGACCTTATCTAGAAACCCCAATGGGCAGGCTTGATGTTGAAGATATTTAAACCTCTGTAGTGCTTAATCTTCTGTTCCTCCAGAGTACTGAGCTGTGGAAGTGTGTGTTAATAAACTTAGTTGTAGTGGGACTTGCTTATTCAAACCTGGTCTAGTGGTGTTACGATTACTCTGTGCTTAATTAGATTTCTATCTAAAAAGGCTGAGAGACTGAGAAACTGGGTCCAGAGATGACTAACCAACCATGAAGACACAGCACAAGGGCTCAGAAGTTCTACCTGTTTTACAAGCCTCTTCCTGCATCACAGATGTGTAGCAAGTGGGTGGTTCGGTGTCACTGAACACTGGCAGTTTTCTGTGAAAGATAGCTAAGTGGGTGGGCACAAGCAAGAGGTAAGATGCCCTGGGCAGAACCAGGAGGTGATAAAAAGGTGCTGAAATCCCTGTGTTGATGGGGATTATGTAGATCAGGTGTGTTCAGAACAGTTGGGCAATATCTAGGTGGGGATTGCCTTCTTCATCAGCGCCGTCATTCAGCCATTAGGTGTCTCTGAACCACTTAAATGTTCAGCCTCATTCTACCCCCTAATAAATAAAGACAAGCCTGGAGCCTGGCTTCAATTAACAAAAGCCTTGTGTCTGAGGAAGGCTGCCAGCTCCACTGGCAATGTCACTTTGTAAACCTATCTGTAAGTCTCAGCAGAGTCCATACCCTCAGAGAGCCAGGAGGAGGCAGAAGCCTTCAGAGAGGGCAGTGGTGGAAGTTACCTGTGTCTGGCACTGCTGACAGCCTGTCTGCCTCGGGCATCCCTGGGTGAGCTCTGGAGCTTTTCCATAGTGGCACAGGCTAGTGCTGGTTTGTCTTGTAACAGAACTGGTAGGTGGCTGTCACCAGTGTCACACAAACCCAAACCCACTTTCTGACCAGTTTAAACTAACTTGCCAGACTGCTAAGTTGACATGCCCAGGGCACTGCTCCAGGCAGTTTCTGTCCTCTGCAGAGAAACCTGTCAGGCATCCAGCACCTCAGAGGTTTGCTGGGGTTTTTACAGTGCACCATTACCTGCTGCCTTTCTCTGTGCTTTCCATGACCACCTCAGTGTGCCTGTCGTCCTTTCAGCAGGTGTGTGCCTTGGCAGTGATACTGGAGGGAGACCCAAAACAATATGTGCTACAGGAGGGGGAAAAAAACCAACCTGCATACACACGTACACACACAAAATGTGTCTCTGGCTGGACAGAGATGGTTTCAGCCACAGCTCCACTGTGCCAGTGTGAGGGCTGAGGTTTCAGCAGAGCTGAGCACACGAGTCCTGTGCAGTTTGTGAGCACTAGTTCCTGTGCTCAGATGGACTGTCCTGAACAGTCCCACCCTGGAGCAGAACTCAAGTTTCATGACTGAGGCCTGACTGAGCAGGTTACAAGGAAGTTTCACCAGCACAACTGGCTGAACCAGCTGTGAATGCTTTCTCTAGCCCAGCACTTCTGTCATTATATTTTCCAGCACACAAGCTTCACTCAGACAAGCAATCTCCCCTCTCTACTGTTCAGTTCTAACAGCATGCTCTCAGAAGAGCTGGGGAGCAGTGCATAAACTTTAGCAGTTTTTAAAATCAGGATCTTCTAATTTACCTCAAATGCTTTTTTCC